CACCGACGCACCCTCTTACTTATTTAAGCGATTAAAAAACTGGACAACTGCTCGCTAGTGACTGGCTGCAGGAAAAAGTTGCCTGGAGCTCTTCCTAGTGAGAAGTATTGACCAGTCGGGGAGGGGGGGTCCACCCAGCAGGGAGTGAGAACAATTATTCTCCAGAAATGACACTGGTTGGTGCCAGTCACGCTAAAACACACAAATTTGTTACAGTTCACATTCATGGATTGGCCATTTAGCCGGATCCCAGTGACTGAATGAATGGTCAACGTGGTGGCCTTGTAACTGGAAGATCCGGAGTTTGAACCTTCTGGTGGTGGGTACGTACTTCTGAAGAGTCTCGAACTAGCGAAAAAAAGAAACAGCTTGTCAGAATTTTCTGTTGGTTTTATAAGGCTTCTTCTAACTCATATATCAATCCGTATTCAAACTTAAAACAAATATTGTTCACAAACTCAAAACCACATCTGTGATCCTGCCATGATATTCTTTGTTTACAAAGACACGATAGTCGTTACACTGCCAACCATGTGGCTATCGACTAAGATGAAAGTCAATTTGACTGCTCCTGTGGAGTCAGTTACATAGGCCGTACAATGAGGCGTGTTTCTCGTCAGATATCCGAACATCATCATGCACAATGGTTGGTTAAGTAAAGGACAAAACAAATTCCAATTACATGGCTCTATTCTATCTCACATCTTGTGGATACACAACACAAGATTGTTGTTAACGATGCGGCTTTTAGAGTCATTTACCGCATACCAACAAATCTTAAATTCGCCTTTAACAGTTCGATTACTAAATACTGCTGAGGCTGGCCGTTGGGATCCACATTAAGAAACATAACTTATGTATGCAAAAGGAGCTAGTTCAGACAATATCCTTACTTTGACCATCTAGGTTTCAATGATCCTCAATTTTTAGTGGAAATTTCCTTAATTTTAGTTGATATTCTATTTACTATTACATTTTTAAGCATCTTCAATGAACTGTGGTAATTCCATTGTGATCTTACTTAACAAATCGATATTATTTTTAAAAAAAAACACTAATATTGTCATTGACTACTATTCTAGAATATTCTACACATATAAACATATACATATATATAATTTTAGAGCCAGAACAGGAGGAAATTATCGAAAAGGATATTCTTTGCTCAATTATTTTGTTGTTTTATAGATAGATATCTGAATGAATATTTTCATGTGTTAGATATCAATCAGCTGGAAACCCCTAAGTCAAGTTATCGCGGTTGTTAGCACATATCAGCGCAAGTCAGTTGCCTCTACAACACTCGAATTCACATTACACAGCACAAATTCACAGCCTCCCCCAGCACACACACACACATTGACACCTAACACTGAAATAAATATTTTAAAAAAATGAACCACAGTGTGTAACATGATTCTGATTTTACGCCTAATACACAAATATTGATCAGCATACAGCCACCAAAATGTGATGATTATATGCAGTAATTCTAATTAACGATTCAAGGTTAACATAAATATGCAGTGTGGCGTGTATCAGTAATGTTTCAAGTAGACGAATATATTGATTATTCGACTTATTTGATGCATAGTGTAAGTAGTTAGTTGTGTGATAACTGAGAATGTGATAATGTATAAATAAATAACATGACCAATTCTCGCCACTTCTTTTTTGCTTCTCTTCTCCTTGCGTGCGTAACTTATCATCCATCTCTCTTTATTTCCATTTGTAATTTTGTTGTTTTTATTGTTTTTGTTACGTTTGATGACTGTCTTCATCGCTGTAGACAGTCACCAAGTCCAGAAGCACGAAGAAAGCTTCACAATTGTGAACCGGCCAGCTCAGAGAACACAGAACTAATTCCAAATCATCCATCTGAGCTACAAATCTTCTCTATTCAATACACCTAATTTGTCTGTCTACCTAAGTCTTTAGTGAAGTGAACAAAATCTGTTTGAACAAAAGTAGAATGTGACAAAAAAAACACAAACAATACGACTGAACAAAATCGTTTGACACTGGATGTTAGGAACAAACGATCGATGAAAGGATAACTATCGTAACTCAACTGGTAAGGTATCCAGCCAACTACTCGTTCTTGTGTAAATCAAAACATTGATATCATGTACTAACACCATTCTACTACAAGTCGTAAATATAGCTCTTCAATTACTGGACAGATGTTTCTTTTGTCCTAGTTTCAGATTCATCAACAGTACGTACCCTCCACAGAAGATTCAAACTCCGGATCTTCCCGTTACAAGGCTACTTACTTACTTTACTTCGGCTATCTCCTACGGGAGGATGAGCCGGCTTCATGAACATTTCGAATCATCGCTGCCCAGGCGCGGCGATCTGATGCAAGGTTTTGCGACAGGGTTATCCAACTCTTGTCCCACAGACGGAGTCCGTAGACGGTTTGTAGCCCCAGACATTCTATATCAGCCTTGACTGTACCAAGCCATGTTTTCAGCTGTCCACCCCTGTGACATCGCCAAGATGGTAATGGCGAGGGATTTAAAACTGATTTGACCAGATCGTCATCTGGTCGGCGCAGAACATTGCCAAACCACCGAAGGCGACATTGTTGGACCAGTAATGGAATTTGGTTGATGTTGTAGCAACGACGACGCACTTCTTCGTTGGAGAGTTTGTCCTGCCAACGGACATGCAGAATGGACCTGAGGCACCAATGGTCTACTACCTCGAGTCTGCGTACATCTTCCGCGCGAAGAGGCCAGGAGAACGGAGAGTTCATGAAGTTTCATGGGAATTTGGTACGAGTGATGTCCCCAGAATCGCTCGGCCTTTTGTTTGAGAGTGCAGCTCTAGCCTTTACACAACCAAGTGTGACCTACAAGGCAGTAGGAGTGGAGTAGGGAGTCCACTATCCATTGGCAGCCGGTGACCGGAGTTCGGTTCATACGCCTTTTTGAATGGGGCCAGACATCCAGGACATCCAACAAGCCCTTCGTCCATACGTCTGCCGGTGAACTCCAGTGAGCTTCATACGCCAGTCGTTGGAGGTTTGGAATCAGGGTTTAGCCATCTCCCCTAGACTGTGATCCAATGGACAGTCAACCCGGTGAAGAGCGCCGGGCATCCGCTTTTTTCTTAGTTCAGGACCCTTCAGAAGTACGTACCCACCACAGAAGATTATTCAAACTCCGGATCTTCCAGTTACAAGGCTACCACGTAGACCATTCATTCAGTCACTGGGATCCGGCTAAATGGCCAACCACCCATGAATGTGAACTTCAACAAATTTGTGTGTTTTAGCGTAACTGGCGCACCAGCCAGTGTCATTTCTGACCAACATTTGTCCTCACTCCCGACCGGATGGAACCTCTGCCCCCCCCCCCACCGACTGGTCAATACTTCTCACTAGGACGAGCTCCAGGCAACTTTGTCCTGCAACCACAGTCACTAGTAAGTATCAAATGTCGATTTACTTTCATGACAAACAACGCAATCAATAATTTAAACAATCTAAAACAATCGATCACTATTAATCATAGAAATAAAAATGTTGTTATACAAATTCATTCATTCATTAATGATACAAAATCATACAATGTACTCATTGTTTTTATTTTACTCATCGCATACATTCATCAAATGAACAATAAACAAAGAAATCAGAAGTTTAAATGCACGTTTAAGAGAATTATTATTATTATTGTTATTTTGTTTAAGACTTTTACTGCCACTCAATCGGTCTCTCTCTCATTCTGAGACACACACGCCCACGCATGCACACACACACGTGCATACACATGTACAATAGAAAGTGATAACAAGAATAACTGGGCGGGGGGGGGGTTGAAGTGGTTACAACACATTATGATGTAGTAGTTATCTTTAAGAATCAATGAAATGTTCCATAGTAAAAGAAGTTAAGAGTAAAAGAAAAAAGATAGCAGAATACACAACGGTGAAGATGAGAAATATGAGATGATAGTCACTTCGGCGTACAGTTCTCTCTCTTACTCACTATGTGTGTAGATGTAGGTGTGCCTTTAAAGGTAGGTCACATTCAAATGAAGCAAAATAGAGAAGAAGAAGAATAAGAAAAAGAGAGAAGGTCAAAAATAAGAGATAGTTTACTTTTTCATGATATGTTTTAGAAGCGCGAGGTTACGATGGTATCGTCTTGAGGACTTTTTCTATGCATCCACATGTACAGGTGTGTTTTGCATATACTCACTCAAAGACGGATAGAGGTTTGTGTGTTATTACACGGAAAGATGGCCTAATCATCTATCCACCCATCAATCCATCCATCCATCCTGTTAGCTAGTGTCATCAGAGATAATAATCATGAGGGATGATGATCAAAATTCACCGTATTACTTACTAGTCAAAACTATTGAATAATACAAAAAAGAAAGTGAAAGAGGACTCAATTGGTTATGTGAAAGGCACGTATGCATCAAGAGAGAGAGGGGGGCCTTGAACAGGAATAATAATAGTAATAATAATAGTGTTATTTAAGGCACTGACTTATTTATTGAACAAAACAGACAAATAGACAATGGCAATAACAGAAAAATTTAAAAAATAACCACTTAAAAACACATTGCATAATAAATAACTGGCACATACGGCTTGGCAACAGTGAAAAAATGTAAAACACAAAAGGCGGCAAAATATATGTAGGAATAAAAAAAAGAAATTCGATTTTTCTATTTATGTTTACGCAAAACAAAGTTGACAGTGAGACAGGCAGGGGAGAGGGAGTGGACAGTTAAATGTGATCACAAGAGTAGTCAGCCAGCCAGTCAGTCAGCAGTAACAGCAGCAGCAGGAGGAGAAGGCGGAGAAAGAAATAATGAACAAATGAAATGAAAATTTTTTTTAGAAAAAATCATAGAAAATAGACTCGTAGTAAGTGATGATTATTCAAGGGGGTTAGGTGACAACAACAACAACAAAAAAAAATAGATGATCCAAGGAGTGTAAATTGTAATCGCAGATACACACACACACACACTGTGTTAATTCATCATTAATTTTGCAGCTGTTAAACCTGCACCAGACGGTAGGATATTACTGTCGGACGGCTTCGACGATTGCCTAAAATATATATGAAGAAAAAAGAGGTGCAAAAAGAAAATATTTCCTTTTTATGCAATAACATTCATTATAAATAGGCGATATAATGTAGAGCAGGTGTCGACAGGAAGTTTTATACCTAAATTTGGTGTTTCATGCTGTGTAGATGTAAAATTACCACCAACTTAACGATCTCTTGAGACAGGCGGGTCGGAGGGATATCGTAGTGCTGGCTGGGGACTTGAATGCACAGGTCGGGCGTCTGAGCTCAGAGGAGAATCGTCTAGGTGGTCAATGGGGACTACATGGTCGCAGGTCAGATAATGGGGACCGTCTTCTGCAGCTTTGCGCGGATCACAACCTATTTCTGGCCAGCACCAACTTCCGGCACAACCATCGCCGTAGCGCTACCTGGCGTCCTCCCTCTGCGAATCAAGCTTGGACTCAGATCGATCACATTGCTGTCAGTTTCCGGTGGCGAGGATGCATACAAGACTGTCGCTCCTTCTGGAGCACATGCCTGGACTCCGATCATGCGTTAGTGTGTGCCAAGTTCGTCTTGCGATTTGGTGGGGTTCATAAAAGGCGTCGTCTAAACGTTGATGTGAGCAAACTAGTAGCACCTGCTACTTCTTTGAAATATCAGAATGAGTTACAATCAATGCTTGCCAGCAACCCCCCAAGTAGTATAGATGAAGTTCTTTATCCGTTTTCTACCTATATTTTTACTTTTAATCTATGTTGTTTTATTATTATTGTGTGGCGCATCTTTCTTGGTGCCATATTGTACCAAGTTTTTCTGCGTTTAAATAAATAATAAAGATGTAAAATTAAAGAAAGCTATAACTCAAACCTGAGACATTAAAGCTTTCTTTTTTTATTCCTCTTATTTTCCCAGTGGAACACAGGACTTCGAGCTGGAGGCGTGAAGTTTCGGGAACAGTGCTATTTATTTATTATTTTTATGCGATGGGGCTGCTAGCCTTATGTCCATCCATGCCTCTTTATCAGTTTTATTACTGGTTTATTGAGGTAAAGGAGTGAGTCCGTGGCCGGAAATCGAACTCCGAACCACATGAGGCGTGATTGACGAGCAATTCCATATTAGTTTGTTTATTTGATATATCACACAGTGAAACAGTATTATTTACTGGATGACGTTTCGAACAAAATTTATTGTTCATAATCATATCAATTATAATCACATGACTTTGACACTTGAGTTTTATAGTTTTCTTTGTTCTCTCCTATTTGTCGTTTGGGTAGTAGAATTTTCCAGATATCGGGGACAGGTGATGAATCATTCCTATTACATGTATTTGTAGTTGATTCGATAAACAAGGCTTCTGTTATCAATCTCTCCCTATACCTTGTGACATTAGATTTTAAAACTGTCATCCTATCCCATCCATCCTATTGTATGGTTGTGTGTGACTGCATGTAGTGCTATAGCTGAACTATACTCTAGATTTCCTATCTTATTCGGGTCAACCAATCTAGATTTTGCTAAGTTTTTATATTCTTATTCGGTACTATAAAACTCAAGTGTCAAAGTCATGTGATTATAATTGATATGATTATGAACAATAAATTTTGTTCGAAACGTCATCCAGTAAATAATACTGTTTCACTGTGTGATATACCTAATAAACAAACTAATATGGAATTACTTACTACCACAGTGCCCAAGTTTTACACATATATTAAGTGATTGACGAGCATTTCACCGCTGTGCTACCGCTGTGCATGAGACATTAAGAATGGCAGTCAGAAACGCTAACTTATTTCATGCAATTCTTCTCATTAATAAACTTGAACAAAGCAAGAATAACAATTGTACCAGAAGATAATATGAGCTCATCTTTTATTATTTCGAGGATTCTTCTCAACTGGTTGCAACCTGAACGATAAAAAAAATATGAATTACATTAAAGATTTGAACATACTTTTCCACGATCCCAAGGAGTAATTGATTGGTAGGAAGTGTTAAAGTAACATTAGTCCGGAATGATTCAACTAATTAAGATTTACAAACACTAACTATTTATAGAATAATAAGACAATTAGGCTTGGAAACAAAAAGTAGAGTTCCGTATATATATGTGTGTGTATAGAAACAAGGTTTAGCTGGAAAGAGCATAACATTTTCTTTAGTTACATAATCTACTTTTTTGTTATGCTCTTTCTAGCTAAACCTTGTTTCTATACACACACATATATACGGAACTCTACTTTTTGTTTCCAAGCCTAATTGTCTTATTATTCTATAAATAGTTAGTGTTTGTAAATCTTAATTAGTTGAATCATTCCGGACTAATGTTACTTTAACACTTCCTACCAATCAATTACTCCTTGGGATCGTGGAAAAGTATGTTCAAATCTTTAATGTAATTCATATTTTTTTTATCGTTCAGGTTGCAACCAGTTGAGAAGAATCCTCGAAATAATAAAAGATGAGCTCATATGATCTTCTGGTACAATTGTTATTCTTGCTTTGTTCACGTTAACATATTGCTAACTAGGCTGACTTAAGCCTTGACTTTTGCAAAATGGCATAACCTGGGATGTTAGATGGAACATGAATTTCGGTGAGATTATACATACATCCTAGGGACAAGTTCAACCTCTGAAAAAAAAAACATTCAGTATCAAGTTAAATTGCACTATGATTAGCAGTATATTGTTATATCAACTTAGTATAAGTAAATGTACAATTTGATTCTGATGACAGTACTCAGAATTGTTTTTTTCCCTTCATGTTCCCCAGTGGAACATAGGGCACCTTCAGGCTGGAGGCTTGAAGTTTCTTTGGCAGTGTTTATTTTTACAGGATGAGGTTGCTAGCCAGCTTCATGCCCAACCTTTCCCCTTTACCAGCTTTATTTCCGGCTTAGCCAGGTAAAGGAGTTCGTCTGTGGCCGGGGATCGAACTCCGGACCATGTGCATGGTCGGCCAGCGTCCTAACCACTATGCCACTGACGCACAATATTGATTACTAATCAATAACAAGACTAAATGGAGAAAACTATCGTGAATACTTAATAATATCCCTACACATTATTACACGTCTAACTTATCTATCTGGTCAATGTGTAGTCATTTATACTAAGCATGTGGATCTGGAAGTTTATTCACAATTTTATACAGAGTGTGAGTAATCCAAAAACAAAACTGGTTTGATTCTCATCTCACTTTAAACATCGGCTTCTTATAGCGAACCAAGGCAACTGGTAATAAAACTAATTCTTATATAACTTGAATACGCTATAGCATTAGCATTTAAATTTTTTTTTTAATTTTATGCCTTCACGTTCCCAGTGGAACATATGGCTCCAAGCTAGAGGCTTGAAGTTTCGATAGAAGTGGTTGCTAGCCAGCCTCATACCCAATCTTCCCTCTTTACCAGTCTTATTACTGGGTTAGCGAGGTAGACGAGTTCGTCTGTGGCTGGGGATCGAACTCGGAACCACATGAGGCGTGGATGACGAGTGTTCTACCTGTGCCACCGACACACACACGACATAGCAACCAGTCTTCAATAGAAAAACAGTACGTATAATTCGACTTTAAGGAAACAAGAGTGACTCAGTGTCGGTGGCACAGTGGTTAGGACTCTCGCCGACCATGCACATGGTCCGGGGTTTGATTCTCTGCCGGCGCACACCCGATATCTATGGTCGACCTGTAAATTTGGGCTACCGATATCAATGCTGAAAATTCCATACTTGTACTGAAAATACGGTGTGGAATCAAGCTGTAATCAAAATAAATAAAATAAAAATAATAAATAAACGACAGCGTTGTATATATATATATATATATATACTCGTTTGCATTGCATTATCCTTCAATTAAGTAAAGTAATCTTATACTGGATGAAAAGTATGACATTTCATAACCGAATCAGTATCACAAATAGATCAATACTTTAAAATTTTCCATTTCTGAGACCTTTACGCCAAAAAGAAACATTATACAGTGACACTAAACATAGAGAAAAATTAGAACAAAAGAAAATTGGATAACTGTTCCATGGTAATTTGCGACTGTGCACTCATGACTCTATTAGGGATGAAAGCCATGGGTTGGTTACCCGGCAAGTGTATACTATTCATCTAAATGCCCGACAATAACACATAATTTCCACTGGCGATATTATAAATCAATGAACGTGAGAATTTATGGACCTTTCATCATTTCAAATAGACGTCTGAAAGGTAACACACCCTTCAGGTAGCACCTCAAGGTGATAGACTAGATATACCGCTTGTTATACCGCTAAGGAGAAAAACACTTGAAAGAAACTGCTGTCTACTAGTGCTACTTAGCATTCGAATATATATACCTCGGAAAACACAACACATACCAAACGACGAAAACAGTAGGACTAACCAGCAAATGATGTTTTCATCCTCATCGCAAAAATGATTCAAGAAATTCTAAACCACAGGAAGCCTGCTTCAGCTGACGGTATAAAGTCGATTGCTAATTTCCTTTCATTTCTGGTTGCACTTATATAACTATCCCAAATGTAACTCACTAACCCACTGGTTAATCTTGCAAACGAACTCTTCTGACTAACTGACTGGTTTCAACATATAACTTCGCAAAGATAGACAGACAGTAAAGTGATTCCACATTAGTTTGTTTCTCAAATGTATCACACAATGAAACAGTATTATTAAATACTGGATGACAAGGTTTTGAACACAATTTACTATTGTTCATAACCATATCATCAATTATAATCACACGACTTCGAAACGTCAGTTTTATAGTGTTCGTTATTCTCTCCTATTTGTCATCGTAGGGGTAGTGGAATTTTCCAGGTGTCCGGTTGGACAGGTGTTGAATCGTTCCTATTATACGTGTTGATTCACGGTTCATTCGATGAATAAAGCCTCAGTCAGTTATCTGTCTCTCCCTACACCCTGCCACAACATTAGATTTTAAAACTGTCATCTTATCCCATCCATCCTATTGTATGGTTGTGTGTAATTGCATGTAGTCAGTGCTATCT